TATATATATATATCTCCCCCTCATATATATCCCTCATTGTAAAAGCCGAGACACAGTTTGAATCATAGTGACATTTATTTATGCAGGTTTGTTTCCTGTCGAAACTGAATGCAAACACAGGACATACACACCACCAAGCACTAGGGGAATGTAGAGCAAACGACAGTGGAGAACTGAAGGTGGAGGCTGAACGGTGCAGCGCTGAGTGAACCTCCTGATCCAGGATCTGTTCTGCCACAGTTTCAACAAAACGCTGAATTCTGAATCACCTCTTGTCCACTTTCTAAAGTCAGTAGTTCTTTCTGGTTCGCTTTGTTTCATCTCGGATGCTTTCAGCTGATGAGTGCTCCCATAAAATCAATTCCAAAACTTAAGGCACCCATTTTGTGTTCTTATCTCTATTGCACCTCTGTCCGTTAGATTATCACTTTCTGATCCATTCCATTTACACAAAGAATCCGGACCTTCGTCAGTTTGACTTCTCAATGCCTTCACTGAACTCGGCAGCGGTTTGCAGAAGCAAAGTGCTCTCACAACAGTCCAGTGTCATGTGACCGATAGAAAATAAAACAGTAAAATAGAATATACAAAGTCAGCAGGTTTAGAACCTCGTTTCCATGGACACGCCTACAGCAGGTCAACAGTTTCAGGTGGGGACGATGACACGATCACACGTGTTGGGGAAGCTCCTCGCTCCACAGCTGTTTCTCATTACTAGGTTTTGGTTACGCTTCGGTTCATGTGAGGGTTCACAGTTTTCTCCCTTCAGAGGACAGAGGATGCGAAAGATGGCGGCTTATTGCGGAACCTCACAAGCTGTTCGCCACACCGCCTCGGCTGACGGCACAGACTTAGAGGGTTAATAGGGGTAGGGGCGCCTCCGAGGGGGTTTTCATGTCTGATTTGTGATGCATAGAATTAAAGGTCACTCACTTATGGATATGTGTGACAGGGCATCTTTATTTGCGCCCACCTTTTCCTGTTTGACCCTTTTTGCCACATCACGACCACAGCACTCTAAACTGTGGAGATGTGTTCAAATGTGAGAGAGTTCTAGGGGGTTGAATACTTTTGCATGGTGTTGTATCTTTGGGGAGAACAGCTCCTTTCAAGCAAAAGTCCAAAGTCACAGCATAACTGGAGAGTTAATCCAACAGAAAGCAGAGAACATCGGCGATAATCTGTCACTTTTCAACTTTTCAGGGAGTATTTAAATAATATGATCCATCACAGTCGCTACTGTTATTTAACATACTGATTAATATTATCCTACCAGAACTTGGAATTGCGTCAGCTATTCATCATGTACAAGGTTAGCAGAATAAACATGGTAGGGAATCCGTTAAAGAGTAACATATTTATCGTAGGATATAACCAGAACATACTGCGTACTGGACAGACACAAGACTTTCAATTAATACTAGTTTTGTCTCAAAAAAAAAAAAAATCAGAGAACTTAAATAAATGTGGACAAAATGTAGACATATTTCAAGGGGTTGAAGTAGCGCACACACCTCAAAATTGCAGATAACGCGGAAGAAAAGGCTTTTCTGGGGTTGCATTTCATATAAACAAAACATACTTCATACTGGACAGACACGAGGCTTTTAATTAATGTTTGTTTTGAGCCATGAAATCTGAGAAATAAATATGGACAAACATTAAGGGATCTCAGCTGGCAATTAGTAGCACACACCTCCAAATTGTGCATAACCTGCAGGAAGAGGCTTCTTTGAGCTGCAGTTCAATAAAATATGCTTACAGTTAGTGCTGGAGCTATATGGACTGCAAAATCTCAAGAACAACTAAGGACAGCTTTCTTCGTGAGACAGGAGACAGACTTTCATGGCCTGACAACCTTGAATATGACGGCAGCGTGGGAAAAGTTTAAAGTAGTAAAGTATTTCTCAACTAAATTATTTTGTAAAAAACAAAATGAGATTTATAAAAGTGATTAATTGTTCTGCATTAGTTTCCAAACTGGTCATTTCTGTAAGTGTGCGCCAGGAGGCTGAAATTAAAAGTATTTTGAAAAGTATACTCTGTTAAATCATAAAGGTGGAAAATTTCACTGTTTTATTTTTTTTTCAAACTGTAAAGTTTTAAAACCTTTTGTAGCTTGATGGCCATAACTGGCCCATGCCTAGCGACGTCTCTTTAAGATGCGCTAACTTCCAGTGTATCAGCATCAAGACAAAGGGAACAAAAAAGATCACTGCAATATTCAAAAAATACAAGAAGTTCAGGTTAAACCAAAGTCAAGTAAGTAAAAAGTAAAAATATACCATCAAATTTGTAAAACTTAGAACACGTAATATTTATATTAAAAATTCCTCTACAAATCCTAAGACGGTGAGCAGCGCTGCCTTTGTTGCCGTCACCTAAAGCTAAACAGTCATGTTGGGATGAGGATGTTTGGTTCCTGGAGGCTGGACCAGATCCAGCAGCTCAACCAACCGTCAGCGTTTCTATGGGCCGCGTCTCTGCAGGGCTTTAATATGTGTTCTCATTCCCTCTGCTATTATTATTTGAATCATGCAGATTATAATCATCTGATATAATTCATAAACAGGCAAACACAGAACATAAATTAGATCCTCTATAGGTAAAAATGTAAAAAGCTAATAAGACAGCAGTTTATTGAACCCGAAGCGAGGAGGAGGAAGTGACGGCAGTCGTTCAAACAGGAAGCAGTTCCATTTCTGAGGTGGTGGGGGTGTCCGATTCGGCGCTGAATCTTCCAAACTGAAGATGGTTTCCCATTCTCGAAGGAGCTAGTGGGCTTGAATGGTCCTGGAGGGGGTCAGGAGTGAGTGGGAGGTGTCCAGGCCGGGTCACAGTTGGTTTAGTCTAAAGGGACAGGAGAGGAGATCTGCTGCTTCATGGAAGGCAGTTTCTTCAGGTGTCTGTGTGTCACAGGGTGGGGGGGCAGAAGGGTGGTGGCATGCTGCTTGGTGGGGCAGGAGACTCTCTGCTGGAGGATCCTCTCCTGCCCCCCCCCATCATGTCCTGGGATCAGGACTGCAGAGAGACAAAAATGAAGAACCTGAAAAACTTTGTAGAAGGTTCTGGACAGTGTTTGATGTTTTCTGTGATTCATTCTAACTTCCTTAAAGGGGCAGCATTATGTTATTATCCAGGCACATAGTGTCATCATAAAGCACTATCAAGAAACTCTGTTACCTTCAGCTGCACATATATTTTACAAAAATGTTTCCTTTTGTATTTGTTCAAACTGGCACCATGTTTGTTATGAAAAGATCGATCTCCTGCCTGAGCTACGCACCGCTCCCAACCAAAATCAACCAATCAGAGCCAGATGGCACATCTTAGCGCTGTCAATCAATCTCAATGTGCTAAGGACAGAGAAACAACTTACTGTTACAGCAAACTGTTTACCCACTGTCTTCGGTGGATATGTTAACTAGCCTAATGTTGTAATGAACAACATTAGGCTGTTCTCTGCAACAACATTACAGAGAGCAAGAGGGAGTGGTTGTCATAAGTTTATTACGTCTTCCTACTCCTTTGAGCATGTTAGGATTATTGTGGTACAAAAAATATGTCTTCTTTTGCAATCCTTGTTCATGTGTTATTTTATACTGCTATCATGTTCGAAATAAATAAATAAATAAATAAATAAATAAATAAATAAATAAATAAATAAATAAATAAAAGTAGATTAAAGGATTTCTCAAACATGCATAAAAGAATCAAGGAAACACTGCAGGTATGTTTTTGATAAGGGAATAACATTATAAAAAGTTGAATTTACACAAAACTGCCCCTTTAGCTGTAACAATGGGCAAAAAGATGGATGGAATATTTACACAACAGTACAGAAGAGGTAAAGATGGCCTACCTCTGCTCTCCGCTGCTCCTCTGTGGGAGACTCTGTTTCCCTGATGACCACTGCTTTTGTCACCAGCATGTCGGGATGCTGCTGCTTGGCCTCCTGGATCGCCATGGCGAGCGCCTGGAGCCAGAGAAACCCCAGCACACAGGTCAGCATCCCGACACAGGTCAGCTTTCAGACACAAAGAGCAGATGTCTCCAGGACTCTGGCTCTCACCTGATGCTGGTCCACATCGTCGTCTCCTGTGATTATGATCCTCTTTTCGATTCTGGTCTCTGAGTAGCCTCCTTTCACAGTCTGAAGTGCACAGAACCACCAGGGTCAGGCAACATCACACTTAATGAAAAGTATCCAACCAACTTAGGCTTTTCCAAATTTTGTCACATTACAGCCACAAACTGGAATGTATTTTACTGGTGAGCTTTTAACAACTAGCTGTGTTTCCATTATAAATGTGCGTAAAACTTTAATCATATTCCCCTGATGTAAAAAAAAAAAAAAAAAAAAAAACTATTTCACAATTGTGGTGTTAAGATTAAATAACAAGTGAAGCCATCATCCTCGCTTGTTCTTGTTCTTTGTTATTTCTGCCAGTAGTAACATCCGGTTAGTGATCACATGATTTATGGTGCAACAAAAGTGTTTCCATTGCAGTTTTGCGGAGCACATTAATTTTGACATGGCCAAAAAAAATCACCTCATCCAATAAGCAAAAGCTTATTAAAAACATGATTGTTTTTTTTAATTAGCATTTTTCCATGCTAAATTTATTTTGGGGATTCCAGTTTGTGCAATTATATGGTCAATGGAAACACAGTTCACGTCTCAAGTCAAGTTCATTTGAGTCCAAAACTGAACTCATGACCAACATTCAAATCAACTAATGTTGGTCATAATTTGATTTGACCAACATTAGTTGGTCAAATCAACCAACTAATGGTTGATTTGACCATTAGTTGGTTGGTGATTGTGGTGCCAACATCACCACCATCATCATGGTGGTGATGTTGGCAGCATCACCACCATGATGCTGCCAACATGGTGGTGGCAGCATCATGCCAGTAGAGATTTTGTACATTTATTTGAATTAACACCTCTCGTTTCACATTTTTATTTGTAAGAAATCTTTGAAATCCCTCCACCATTTTCTTTCTTTTATTTTGTACACCGCACTACTTTGGTGTGTCATTATTTCCTGAAACGTGGATGTGACGTGACAAAATGTGACAAAGTTCAAAATGTTGAATGTTTGGTGGTGTTTTAAATATTTCAACACATCATTATCTTTATCACATCAAAACAAATCCTCATTGTTTACTCTTCGAGCAAAATTACAAACGGAGGAAATTATGTAATTATGAATAGCGGCTTGAAACAACAACAACTGTATCCTGTACCTATGAAACAGATTACCATTTTATTTTAGACAAGAACTGTTTCACTGTGATAAAGGTTCAGTAATTGAACTGTAGCCGAGGAAACAAACACAATGTTACCTTGGTAACTTGTGTCGTGGTTGCTGATGTGATGCTTTCAGCCGTGATGGTCAGAGGGGACACAACAGACTCCCTCCCTTGCGAAGTGGCTTTTACCTGCAGCACAGTAATTACAGAGCAGTCAGACCCACATATTCAACGGTCAAGCACAACATCTGCTAGCCAAAGTGATAACATCTGTTACATAATCAGCTGATGTGGTTCACTTTCACACTACACTGTCAAACAGAATAAACCCTTTAAGAAGCCTGTTCCCCTCCTCACCTGTGGGGGCGCTCCTCCAAGAACCACTGAAGGTTCTAAGAGGTTCGAATGCTAGAACTTCTGAGATCCTTCTTCATGAAATTTACACAAAAATGTGGGCATGTGATTCAGATTGTGCTAAAATTGTGACAGAACAGCCAGAAAAGAAGGAGAAAAAATAACTTTTTAGAAAGCTCATTCACATGCTAGCTTTCACACTGAAACCGAGTTGTGGAGACGGCTAACAGTGTGATGGTATTAATCCAGCACATACAGGTATTAACCCTGTATGTGCTGGTATTAACCCTGTATGGAATTCCCCATCATCCATTGAGAGGGAATTCCAAATCAGTTGCTGAAGCTTTAGCAGTGCTGGGCTAATTTTTCTTTTAGCGCTTAAGTGATTTTGCTAACTCTCACTAGAGTTCAGCTTAGTTCAAAGTCAGATAGTTTGTATCACCAGGTCTAAATAGTTTAGGCCTCTAAGATATTATTTAGATTTTTTTTTTCTCCAGTTCCACCCTCATGTCCAAATATCCTCACTTTTTGATCCTACAACACCAAAGTCAAACCCAAGCCTTTAAATCGTCCATCTGGATGACCATCCCTGGTCTTCATGTTTTACATATTCTTAAATGTGTGTGGATACCCTTTTTGTTAAAAGTGACAGTTTCAAGAAATGGCATTAGTAATTGAAGGTAAAGACAAGCGATTCCTCAAAAACAGAACAATGTGTTGGCTCAAAGTCATTCAAGCATTTATTTGTTGAAATTCATGACCAGAGTCATTATGGTGACAGTAAGTAACAATTGTGTAGCTCGCATGAGGCGATTCATTTGGACACTCGCTCCAATAAAGGTCAAGACTACAGCAGAGGCAGCGCACAGACACATAAATTACTGTCAGTGTGATGGATGTCCTCTACAAAGACACTTACAGGGGAGCCATTTTCTTTGGGAGCAGCAGGAGTTTCCTGGGAGCTGACAGCTGCAGGGCTCTGAAAGGGAGAGGAAGAAATGGTTCTGATGAAGGCTTTTTACCAGATACCAGCACCATGACTGCTCCATGCAAAAACAACAACACTGAAGGACTTGTTTGTTCTCCACAAAGACCAGCACTGATTGTGCAAAAATAAATAAATAAATAAATAAATAAATAAATAATCTGGTCAACATCAGATTGTAAATGAATTAGTGTTTTTGTGTATTTCTATGACTTATTTAAATTATGTAATAATGCTTTGTTTAGCCGATGGGGAGTATTACAGTTTGATGAAGTAGTAAAATTTAAGACAGTACAAATGAAATATGAAGCCATAAATAATATGCTCCCTAAAAATATTCAGTCTGTCTAAGTAAAAACGTGGGAGATATGATCTAAGATGGAAATTTAAGATAAAACAACCAAATGTAAATAATATATTAATAATAATGATGTTGTTGTGGTATTAAGCTGTTGAACTGTTAAATCTTAAACTAAGTATAACATAAAATGGAATTAAAACACAGAATGATTGATATGACTGAAACCTTTGTGATGACAATTTACTCACTTTTTGTTTTTTCATTCTTCTTACTAAATACTAAAGCTGTGAAAAGTGAAAATAGTTTCTTTCCACATGATGGTCGACAATATGAGCTGAGCAGCTTCAACCTATATACCACTTTGAATTATCGTTATTTGACTTTGTTGAATTTCCTTATTTTGCAGTCGGAATGTTTCTTAAACACTTAAATGTATGTATTTTTAATTCTAACAACAAAATCTCTTTTTTATATGTCAAAAATAATATTTAAATGAATGTTGCCAGTTTCAGGTCAAAGTCTTTCCAAAATAACAAGAATAAATCATGTTTCAGTGGTTATTAAGGTCACCTCAGGTCAATACTTGGTGATTTTGGACTGTCAGGTCCTGGGAAATGAAAGGCTCCTAAATGATTCACTATGTTTCACAGTTGGTTGGAGTTCAGAACACTATGCAAACCTTTTCCCCTTTTTAGTGAGAACAAAACTGTTGATAACCTTATTATATCAAAGCTGCACAAAGTTAAGTTAGAGTTTGACTCTAAATGGTTGTGCTATCTTATGCTGGTGTCCTCTGAAAAATATAAGAAAGTTAATCTCAAGACAATTCCTTACCAAAAAAAAACTTACATTTCAACATAAATCACAAGAAGCCCAATTCAAAACAAATTCCAAATGTTGCAAATTTCTAAAGCTCTGTCTTAAGTTTGCTGAGATGTGTATATTTTTAAGACTACTAATGTAAAAAAAGGTTGCCTTTCATCTGGAAAGTCCTATAAAGTGCTGATAGTTGTAAAATCTCCCAGAATATATTTCAGTACATCTAAAAAAAACTTAAGACTATTGTGGAAAAGTGCAATATTTCTCACCAGACATCTCAGAAAATGAAACTCATGTATTATGTAGAATATATGAGTGGAATATATCACTCACAGGCTCTGATTCTTGTAATTTTGATGATTATGGTATATGGAGAATTGAGAAGATTGCATTTGTAACACTTAATGTTTATCCTGTGCAAAAATATGATTTTTTTTATTTTATTTTTTCCTTTAATTTAATCTTCAGAACTTTACCTGCAGAAATTTAACTGCTGAAACTTGCCTCCAAATGTCCAGAGACGCAACACAAAGCAACCAGAACTAGATCTGGACAACTGGCTATTTGCACTCTTTTATTCACATGTCAAACAGTTTGCTAGTCAGTGCAGCTACCTCAACACACTTGTGTCACATAATCAAAGGAGAGTAATTTGATTGCCTAAAAGTTATAATTCTGACTTCAAACTCAAAGTATTCTAATTCTGTGTTAATAAATGTCAAAATCCAAATAAATAATCAAACATTCTTCAGTTAGGTGGATGTAAATTATGTTGCTAGCATATAGAAACAATAACAACTATTTCTTCCTTGTAATAGGATCTCTAAACCTGCACTTTGTCATCACTGAAAACCTGTCCCAAATTTTTTATTGGGACAGAGTTTTAAGATTAGATTTGTTTGATGGTATATAAACAATTTAAACAAAATTCTGAGAAAAAAAGTGAGAATTCTGAGTTTAAAGCCAGAATTTTACATTTAATGTCAAATTGATTCCTGTAAAATGCGAGTGTTTAGAAAAGCGTTCTAAAAATGAAATGTAGTCAGAATTTGGAGAAATAAACCTGAATTGTTTAAAACATTAGAATTTTGAGATTCAGCACTATAAAAATGAAATGAACTTTTATTATTATTATTATTATTATTATTATTATTATTATTATTTAAAAAGTCAAAATTCAGATAAAATCTTATTTCTCTTTTTTCAGTGTACCTAAATCCTCTTTTGTACATGTGGAAGGATATTGAAGAATTCAATTTCAGACGATGTTTTTCTATTTGTTATGTATCTAGAGAAAGTGAAAATGCTTGTGCTGATATTATAAAACTTTACCTAAAATGAAATCATACTTTTCTACCTCGTTGTATGTTATAAAAGTAAAAATATGTGATGTTTTACTGTGATCTACACAGGCTGTTGTAACGTCCACAAACTAATCTTTGTGAAATATCTCCCTCTGCTGGCCAACCGACGTTACTGTAGATCTTTATCTGCCTATAGATTATCTTATCCTCCATTTACTGTGCAGAGGCGCGCGCGCGCAGAGCACTCAGCTTACTCCGACAACCTTAAAGCAATGACTCAGCACTGATGCGGCTCTTCAAAGGGCCCCTCTCTCCATCATCTCCTGAGCACATCCACACCATTAGCTTGAATGGCTAAAGAGCCTGGCCGTGATTACATTTTAATAAGGCACCTGCGGGACAGCCGGTCCGCGCTCACTGCTCTGCTTCCGGAGATGAATGGCAGTCGCAGCTGCTTTCATCCCTCTCATTAATATACTGTCAATACTTTAATCATGCCTTAATGATTCTATTACGCTCCCCATTTTTTTGGGAACATGGCTGCCGTGTCACTGAGCTCCCTGGAAGAAGAAGAAGAAAAAAGAGATTCTTTCTATAGTCAAAGTCCCAGGCTTCCACCAAACGCACGTCACGCAGCAG